CTCTCTTTTTTCTCTCACTCTTTCTCCTCTCTCACTCCACTTTTTCTCACACACACACTCTCCCCTCTCCTCTTTCTCATTCTCTCCTCACTCACTCTCCTCTTTCTTTCTCTCCCTCTCTCTTTCTCACTCTCTCTCACACTCTCTCTTTCTAACTCTCCTCTCTTTCTTTCTCACTCTCCTCTCTCTCTTTCTCACTCTCTCCTCTCTCTCTTTCTCACTCCTATCTTTCTCTCTCTTTCTCCCCCTCCTCTCTCACTCTCATCTCTCTCCTCTCTCTCCTTTAATATCAGAAACTGCGAGAGAAGCAGAAATCTGTCCGGGAGAGCCACGGCCCCAACTTGAAGCAAGTCAAAATGTGGCGAGACCTCCAGCTTCTGATGGAGTGCAAAAGGGAATGTTTCCTCAAGCAACAGAACCCGGCTTCGGTGGGCCAGGTCATCCAGGAAGACGGAGAAGACCGTCTGGTCTTGTGAAAGCATACGTGCCCGACATCTGGGTCACCCCGGCAGACCCATTCTTGCCCCAGTGAATGTTGGCCGAGGTTTAGGAGGATGGTTTTGAAGCAAATGAGATGGAGTTCAGCTAAAAAAGTCCTTGTCTCAACTAGAACAGGGCTGGGGTGGGTGGGCTTCCTTTGTTCCTTTGGGGGGGGGGGTTTACATCTTTTATTCTGCTGATGGACAGACCGGCCTTCCCTCGGCCGGAAACCAGTCGAGGGGTTAAAGCATTGAGACGTTTTCACAGGTGCAATTCCGTTCAAACGTAAGAGTCACGCCAGAGAAGCAGGGAGACAGAAATCAGGACAGCGTTGACATCTGGGGTTTGTAGATGCCGTGACACCAAGCCAGGATCGAGTCCCCACAGGTCCTCCCCAACTCAGGAGCATCGTTTTCACCTCTGGCTCAATTCCTAAATTCCCTTTTCACAATTCCAGCGACCAAGTTGAAGAAGGACTTTGGCATATATATATATATTTTTGGAAGCGGGAGAAAAATGCACAAACTAGAAGGACGTAGCAGACCCAGCTTCCTGTAGCCCACCGATGTGTAAACCCTGAGGAGGTCCTTGGTTCTCCTTGTAGTTGTCCCCTCCCCCCGTGGTCCCACCTGTTAAAAGTCCAAAACGCAGGAGACACAATTTCCTTAATTCCCCTGGACTCCAAAGCAAAGCCATCGAATCTGAAATTCCTCTGCCTTCTCTCATCCGCTTGGCTTTTATTGAGTCCGCTTCCGAATGTGTGTTTTTGTGTTGAATTTTTTCTTTTTTTGGAAAGATTCCCTTCTCGCGGTTATTACGTCGTCGCTGGCTTCCTGGTGGCCTTCGGCCTGCGTGGCTCGTCTCTCTCTCTCTCTCTCTCTCTCTNAGCGGGAGCAGTTCGACAAGAACCAGGCAAGGCTTTGGGGGGGGGGGGGGGAGGGTTCCCCCGTTTCCCCGGAAGGGGGGGGGGGGGGGAAAGGTTTCCCCGTCTTCCCGGTAAGGGGGAGGGGGCTGTAAAGTGGGGAGGGGGCTCGCTCATCACGGGATCCCCCCTCTCCTCTTTTATGGGGAGGGGGCGCTGATGCATTTGCCCCCCCTCCTCCTCACCCTGCCTGCCCCCCCCTCCCCAGCCCCCCTCCTCTTTTATGGGGAGGGGGGCACGAGATACATTTGGTAACCCCCCCTCCCTCCTCTATGGGGAGGGGGCTCCGATCTGTCCCCACCCTGAGTGAGCCCCCCCCCTTTTGCAACCCTTCCCTGGAAACTTAGACCCTTAACCTGCCTGCCCCCCCCCAAATCCCCATGCGACGTGGGGGGGGGTTAATCCAGACGCATTGGCGCCCCCTCCCCATAAAAGGGGAGGGGGATCGACCAAGCGTATCTGCACTCCAACCCTTGCCTCGTGGGGACCCCGCAGGCAGATCAGTGCCCCCTCCCCATAGAGCTCTGCCAGATGTATCTTGTGCCCCCTCCCCTCTCCCCATGGATGAAGGGGCAGGCAGGGTGAGGAGGGGGGGTCCCCCTCCCCAGAAAAATTGAGGGGGATCTACCTCTGCACACACCCCTCGCATGGGGGGGGGAGGCAGGGTGAAGATCCAGGGCCTGTCAGGTTACAAAAAGGGGTGCTCATTCATCGTAGGGACCTCGCGGATCAACCAGCGCCCCCTCCCCATAAAGGAGGGGGTCTATCATTTCTTGCCCCCCCCCCAAGGGTGGAGGGCAGGCAGGGTGAGGAGGCCCTGGGGTGGTGGGGGTCGAGGTTTCCTAGGGGCTGTCAGGTTGTAAAGAGGGGGAGGGCACATTCATCGTGCAGCCCCCCGCAGATGGATCAGCGCCCCCCCCTCCATAAAAGAGGGGGGGTTACCAAGTGCATCTGCGTCCCCCCCACCCCATCCCTCTGCATGGTCTTCTCCTTGCCTGGAGCATCTTACCCCCCCTTCCGTAATGCATCCGATTTCTCCCCTGTCGTCCCCCCCACCCACCTACCATCTCATGCAGCTTATCTGGGGAGGGGGCCACCTTACTTCAAAGGAAACAGAACCCAGAAGGAAGGCAATGGAGGGTGGGGATGGGGGGAAGGAAGAGGAGGAGGAAGGAAATCAGGATGAATGCCATAAAGGCCCTTTCTCCCTTGAGGGTGGGAAAGGGGGTCTTTTTTGCTACTGTGGTTTAAAAACAGACCTCAAGACATCCAGCAGTTTTCCAAAAGGCCATTGCTGCAATCCATAAAGGGGGTCTTTTTTTGTGGGGGGGGGGGGAGGTCAGACCTTAAAAAGCCCCGCGGGCAGCCGAAATAAATACCCAAACCTGCCCAGGCTCCCAACCACCCCATACATTCCAAGTTAATTATTATTATGAATATTGCAACGATGCAATGGTTATTTCTGAGTTTTAATTCTGCTGCCTTTCATTATTTGCAAACTTCCGGCTGTCTCCCGTCTCGTCTGGCATCTTTGGATCCCCTGGGGAGGGCTGCTTTGAAAGCGGGAGGGGGGCTCCAATCTAAAAGGGTGGGAGTGGTCTCTCTCTTCTCCCCCCCCCTCCCCAATTTTTGGGGGAAAAAAATATCAGCACTGCTGCCTGGCCAGCTGCAACTTCCGCAGCTGGGGATGTGAGCACCACCGGAGGAGGCCTTTTGGTCAGAAAGGAACTGTTTAGGGAGCTGGGGTCTTATTTCTGAATATTTTATTTCTATTTTTTAAAAACGTCTCGGCGTCTCTGCCCAGCTGCCTGGATGTGCGATGCATTTTTTAAAAACCCATAAATCACTTGATATTTCAGGGAAGGCTGCTAGATTGAGGAGTTCAGTTGTGCAAAATATATATATATATATCTTAAAATGTTGGTTATCCGAGGGTGCTCTCCATATATGTGCATATTGCTCCAGCGCACGCAAAATATGTCTCCCTCTGGCTGACCGGTGGGTGGGCGTGGAGGAATAAATTTCACAGCTTCCGCACAATGCCTTTGTTTTGGGTCGTTCAACTCTGCTGGCTCCACTTTTCTTCCTGAATATTTTGGATATGGATTTGGATCCTTTGCTCTGGAAAAGGCCCGAAATATCAGAGGCTTCCTGTCGATCCTTGCAAGCTTGTTGATCATTTTTGGGTTGCTACCCCCAGGTTTCTGCATAGGCATGAATAGCTTCAAGGTGGGGCTAGCAAAGGATACAAATTAAGATTTTATTTTATTTTTTCCTGCTGGGATGTGTTTGAGATTCGAGTTGCGATTCAGGGGTGACGAAGGGAACGCACTCTGCACATGCTTAAGAGTGATTGCCGTCGCTGTTGCCAAGTTCCGGCCACGACAGGATTTGTCTTTGTTGAAATTTGGTGTATTTTCTCGATCTGTCGACCGTGTTTCTCAACCGTGGCTGCTCGAAGATAGTTGGACTTCAACTCCCAGAATTCCTCAGGCTGGAGGATTCTGGGAGTTGAAGTCCACCCGTTTTCAAGCAGCCACGATTGAGAAAAAAACCCACTTCTATAATATAACTATCTCCTCTGTGTATAATTTGGGGAAGCAAAAATTGAGCGTATTCCTAATTGATGCAATCATTTATGATGTCATTATTTTTTCCTTGCCTTTTTGGGGACTATTGCATATCTTAATCATCTTTTTCATAGGAATTTGTTGCTCTTTAGATGATCACGAATCCAGTTTTCATAGCCCACAGAGCTGTTGAAGCCAGCAGAGAGTACAAAACATTTCTGTGCCACTAGGAAATATTTCTCTTTATATTTTAGGGTGGATTCAATGGAAATTCAATGGTGTATTTGTTTATTTTTCTTTTCCCGTTCAACGTAGAGACTGTTTTATTCTTCCGGAGTTTTTAACTAGCGGTGTCTTGATTTTTCTCAACGAAGGAGTTAGGAAATCACGTGAAGTCAAATGATTCTTTTACCATGTGCAGAATTCTTTCCCATTATTCAAAACGTCCCAAAGCCGCACTAGGGACAGAGGAGGGTGTTTAAAACGGTGGGAGTTTTTAAAACTGATTTACAATATAATATTTAGTGCCTAAGATGGCCCTTGGAGAGAAGCAGGAAGTTGGCCAATCCTCTTTCGTGGCTGAACACCTTTGTGCTAATTGCAGGTGACACGGCCTTGAATTTTTATCCGGAGACACAAACTCCCATTTTTTTTAAAAAAAATCCATCTTCAAGCGAATTGGCAAACTTTCTAAGTTCCATTCTCACACTCTTTCTCAAAAGCACTTTGGGTTCCTTCCGACAAACTTAAACACACAACAAACTTTAGGATTTCCCCCCCACACACACACATACCTAGTTATTCTAGCAAATCCAGTTTGGCATCTGCCAAGGCTTGGAGTCGTAAAAACAAAACACAAATCCATTTCAGGGTTTTGATCAGGCAGGCTGTTTAAATAACACACACACACACAATTTTAATTTCAATTCTTCGAAGCTGATAGCTTGATTTTCCCACCCCCCACCCTCCAAATTTGGCTGTCCCTTTCCCACAAGTAAGCAAAATCTACATTTCGTGCGTAGGTTATTGTCCTTGAGTAAAGCAAGGACGAAAAAATAGTTTTGTTTACATTAATCCAAAGTTGGCAGTTGCTGTTCGTGTTTGTCTTCCGGTATGAATTGTGTGATGATAATTATTATTATTATTAAAACAATGTTGGCCTCGTAATACCCGGGCTGAAATTTATGACTGTGCAAATGCAGATTGCTCCTGCAAATAGGTTTGCCTTGCAGCACAATAGAATAGAATAGCAAAGTTGGAAGGGACCTTGGAGGTCTTCTAGTCCAACCCCCTTAATCAGGCAGGAAACCCTACACCACTTCAGACAAATGGATATCCAACATCTTATTAAAAACTTCCAGTGTTGGGGCATTCACAACGTCTGGAGGCAACTTCTGTTCCACTGATTCATTGTTCTCACTGTCAGGAAATCTCTTCTTGGTTCTAAGTTGCTTCTCTCCTTGGTTAGTTTCCACCCATTGCTTCTTGTCCT